ATGAGGCGGGTTTGGGAAAATATTCAAACTTATAAAAAGGAGACGCGGGAAAGAAGAGATATATATATATATGATAGGAGAATTATTGAGCCTGTATAGAATCGAGAAGGTTGTACTGAAGTGGGATTTATGGAGAGGTCTGGATGATTATCGATATTAATATTGAAGGAAGGAATTAGGATATCTTTTATCGGAGGGGGGGGGGCGCGTTGTTATTTTGTTGCCGAGAAATACTTTTCGTTATCGGAGGAGATCGGGAATATCTTGTCTTCTAGATTTGCCCGCGATGACCTCGAAAAGGTCTTCGGTTTTGATCTTGATGATCTTGAAACTTACGATCCAACCGATGAATACGAATTTTCCGAGATACTAGACTAATATGATTAGGATCTTGGACGAGAATTTCAAGCATTAATCGATAAGGAGATGATCGATTTATTTTTGAAAACGATATTTCATGTGAGACCGAATCCATTCTTTCTAGTCCATTTCGAAAGAGAGTTTGTCAAAACATCCCTCAACCCCAAGATCATTCTATTTATATGATGAAGCGATATCAAATAGATAGGACCTTAGAAAAGGAGATGCCAAGGAATTCATATCAGAATCCGAATATGCCGTATATAGATGCGCAGGAGTTATTTAATTTCATGAATGATTCGATTGACGAGCACTTGAATCTATGGGCATCGAGGAATCTCAACAAATTCTGCATCGTGTCGATCCTATCAGGATCTTGACATCAAGATTTAATTGCCTACACTTACCCTGGAAGCATAAAGCTCGCTACTGAGTCAAGTCATCACGACCCCAGATAGAGATTCCTTGAAACGGACATCCCGACCATTAATCGCTTGAGCATCTTAACTCTCCTCCAGGTCCTGGCAAGTCGGAGGTGGTCAAACAGTTGGGAAGTCGCTGCTAGAGATATCACGACAGCATTCCTCAATGGAGACGTCATAGATCGCGAACTCTACCTTCGTCAGTCAAGGATCGGCTTGAAGGGTCCTGATCCATATTCGAGTCCGATGGAAATATCTGCATCAACCCAGCTCAAGGTTTTTTTGAATTCTTCATCGAAAAAAAGACAGGCGGCTCTCGATACCGCCGTCGAAGATCAGCGCATCGAGAATCGATCGCTTATTAGCGCGCTCTCCTAGCTTGGCAGCCAATCTCGACCGACTTGCAGTGCTCTGAATCTCTTGCCCAGCAATGCCAAAAAGATCCAATTATCGAAGATTTGAAATTTACGCATAAAATCATGAAGAGAGCATGAAATATCAAGATAAGATTATCTAATTCCCTATTTCCTGCGAATTACTAATCTATTCATTTTCTTTCGAAGCCACTTAAGAGAGGATTTTTCAACCACAAACGATTGCTTTTTCAAAAAATCCTACGAAATATTCTTCTAGAATAGACCCATTGCTTGAAATCAGAGATTAAAATAAAGCACAAATCGATAAATATCTCTACACACAAATCTTATATTTAATTTATCGAGAAAGGGCTATTACCCTTCTAAAAATAAGGCCCTAGAGTTTTCTTTCGGAATTCAAAATATCTTTCGAAGTCCGAGGCACTTGATTCATTATGGTTTCTTATTCTATTCTAAATTCTTATTCATCCTATCCTTATTATTCCTCCTTATATTGGTAAAAAAATTCAATTTTCGCCCTAAGAGCAACCCCTAAGACGATCGACAATCGCCTTAATTAATATCTCTCATAATCTGATCAAGCTGTCTTTCTTAGTTTACAACTTTGACCCGCTAGAAGCAAGCATAATAGCAACTGCGATGACCCTAAATCTTGAATCTTCATCCATCTTGCTCAATTTCTATAGTCTCCACCCTTCCTAAAATCTGAATCGATCCATTACGATATTCAAAACGAAGATAAACATTCCTATCTTTAAATAATACACAATATATATATATATATCTAAACTGTCATACACAATGGTATTATAAGTAAAATCAAACCTGCTAAATTCAATACAGTATAAGAAATAACTCAGCGGAAAAACTATCACGTAACGCTTTTTGCGGTCCATCCAGATGCACTACTTCAAATATTGTCAAAACGACCACTGGATTGTGGCTCTTAGCACGGCTGTCGGCTCCAAGCAAGCACGGTTAAGTTTGCTAAGATGATGCCTCAAAACACAAGGCACCTGCTTTGATTCCCTACCCATAGAACATCTTGTGGAAACACAACACAACAACAAAGCATACATGTGTTCTGCATGTGGCATAGTCTGATTACAAGATGGGCAATTGTAGTGAAAAAGCGAGTGGACCTGACGTGAATGTATGGAGATCCGGAAGCTCGCAAGGCTGTCAGGAATGACTTGAATAACGTTTGCTGTGGTGTGACACAAGACTTGCTCGGACTCGGCCCGTGCTTATTGTTGGGCTCAGAAGCATCTCAGCGTCGGCTGCGGAAGCCACGCTGCACGCGGCCGTGGAGGCTCTCTCACCTTGGATTTGAATCACTTCCTGAAAGCAAAGCACCGCCCCCCGCCCCCTACAGGGGTAAACAGGCATTGCTTGTCTGCTACACTGTAACTAAATCCTGCGTGGAGTGAGGGGCTTTGTGGGTTGTTGTAAAAGCTTTAGCATGGGGCCTCTAAAGTTTAGACTCTAAAGTCAAGAACTTTGACCTCTGGGAAAGGTCGAGATTGTTGGTTTT